TAGATGGTAGATACAACCCTTAGAAATTATTTTCCTAGCCTTTACTAAGATATAGACTTACCTTTAGGCATAGAATTTCCCCAATACTATGACATGATAATGTAACGACCCGGGAGCACCCCCAAGTTGTCACACAGCGTATTCGACCTCTCGGAGGTCTTATACAAGACCTTAGACATCATTCATCGCATATATATGAAAAGTAGTGCGGAATTAAAACTTTTCATCATAATAGTTCAAATCTTTATAGAATATAAGAAAGAACTAAGTCTCGTCATAGCCATATTAGACACAATTATATCATAGGGTCACAATCCTCACATCAATTTGAAAAGAAACTATAGTCTATTACAAAGTCTTTTAGAAAAGGAAACTAAACATAAGTCATGTCCTCGAACATATGAGGACATACCAATCTTGTGAGAATGTTATTCGCAAGCTTCAACTTCTAAGAATATTCTCACTTGCAACCTACACTTGTAGGCATAGAAAACATATGGAATTAACACATTGAATGCACTAAGTGTGGTGAAGCTGTAAGAAAACCATGCAGAAATATACAGTTACTTTAAGATATTGCTTTCATGCTATTTTTAAAGAAATCTTCATAATCTTCATCATAAGAGTTTAAAAGAAATATACAATTAAACCATCACATATAAGAGACATTCAACATTCACCAAATAAGCATTTTCATTCCTTTAAACCTCTACATAAAGTTACTCTAAGACTCACTTGAGTAAGACATGAAGAGACTGCCCATACACCCTCTTCAAGCACACCTAAGTGATCATCAAAGCTACTTTAGATAGGAACTTTTGAATTAAACATTTTTTACTAAGAGAACCTTATAATTTAGAGTCATTTAAAAGACAAGAAATCAATTAAAGGACTTCACATAATGGTCTTGGAGGACCTAGGGAACTCATCCTACCATTTTCAAAGCCTACTCGTGCCATGTACAGATAGCGTCTTATTCCACTACATACACCTCGTAGAACTTCTCCAATACCAGAATGCACATCTCATATGATGAGAATAGGGACTAACTGACATAAACAACACGAGCTAGGTATGGAATCTGATGTCATAAAGGACCACACACCGTGAAAGGTGTTCTACTTGCCAAAGGTAGAACTTATAATCATCCCATGTTGGCACATTGTTAAGGGATATCAAAGGCTTTTTTGTACTTTAGTCTTCTACTCAAGTAGAGCTACTACCACAAGCATATCCTCACGGTGATTTGACCTGTTTCTCATAGAGTAATTCATTCCCTAGGTGTATTAGAAAGGGTACCATAACTAAGTCCAACCAACTCATAATACTCTTTCTTTCAAGGATTGGTCAACTAGGGCTGCCAACCAAGGTCTCTTAGAATAGATCACTTGACTACTCTTGGAAGGGCGCCTTAGGCCTACCGATCCAAGCGTTATCATTAACCTTACATTATTCAAGGTTTCACATTCACTTAAGGTTCTAGACTCGTCAAGAAGGAGCACCATGCTTAGGTCTATCGGTTCAAGACATACTCTAGAATACCTCATTTTATCATTCAAGGAAGGGCACCAACTTAGGTCTACTGATCCTAGACATTCATTCTTTCATTCCTTCAGTACCATTCAAGTACCAAGTAGGGACAACTAGTCTACCACACAAGATACCACATCATTCTATAAAGGCTCTCCCTAGTCCTTCATCATCATATATCAACAACTAGAGAAGCAATAAATTCAATCATATCATTATAGTACCCATACAAGATCATCGCTTGAGTACTTTCACTTTATACTTTCACATATACCGTATCATGATCATACTATAGTTCACTTAATAATACCGACAAGGCTATGTTATAACGTATATAACAATTAAACACCTCCACCATATGTGGACCATACCAATCAATAAAAATTAAAATATCAATTCCATGCTAAACAAATGAATCAGGTCAACTCATCACCTTTTAATATCCATAATCACCATTCCTTAGCCTTTCCAACAATTCCACACAATAAGAGATCTTTACAATAATAATGAATACAAGGCTAGGCCAACAATTCATTCATATAAATGATCCATAAATACTCAATATAGATATCCATATTATAAGGCAAACTATGAACAATTCTAACATTGATCAATACATAATTCAATAACCCAATACAATATACACATGAATTAAATACAATTAAGCCATGATTAATTCACCAGTATAGAGCCAAAATTAGGAATTCATGGAATGCATGGATTCATGGATTTTTTTATCTTAAAACATTCAATTAACATTTATCATTCCAAAAAACATCACTTTAAATCTTTTCATGCAACAACCCATGGTTAGAATTCAAAATAGGACTTCAAGATTTTGAAAGATCTTTGAAAAGCCTTTGGAATTGGCTCCTTGAATGGAAGAAGAATCAAGGATGAATCACCATACCTTTATTGAAGAATTCACATGAAATTTATGGAGGAATCAATGAAGAACATCAATCCTAGCTTTAACCTTGCTTCAAGCTTCAATGGAGTCTAGAGAGAACTTAATTTGATCTTAGCTTTTGATTTGGAAAAGTGAGGTCTAATTTAGGTTTTATGTATATAAAATAACTTAAAATACCTAAAAACACATAAAATAACCGTCTAGGACATAATTAGAACATAAGATGAATTTCCCAACTTGCCCCCACCTTGGTCGAGACACCTGTAGAAAGTTGCAGGTATCAAATGACGGTTGCCACCTACTAGCCGTCGTTTGATCGATGAGGCGTCCTACTAGGCTTCATTTTTGTCAGAGGCTTTACATTTGGGGGATAATATCCCACACCAAGTGTAGAGCCACGCCCCCAATTGATGGGGCGTTAATGGAATTACTGGACATGGTTTGGTGGTCGTGGTTTGGATTGCCTTTTGGCAGTTTCTTGCCAAGGTTTGGGTCCTCTTCAAGAACCCTTAGGGTGGTCCTTGGGGAGTTTTACCCGAACGTTTTGACCCTAAATATATTAATTTAGATTTTTGGTTCCTCTCCTATCAATTTAGACAACAAACAACACATAAAACAGGCCAAGGCATATTAGTACACACAAAGACTAGTTTCCAAACGTCTTGGTCGTTCTTTGACGTTTGAATTCCAAGCTCTACAAACTGACTTATAATTCTAATATTCATCATATTGACACCTTCTTAATTCATGACACACTTGATAGTCTCTATATTAACCTAGTTCATTTTGATGGTTGTGACATTCTCCCCCACTTAGACAAACATTCGTCTTCGAATGACACTAAAACACTTTCAACGCTTTCAAGAGATAAAACTCAAGAATAGCATCTCATAACCATACCACACAATAAACACACTTGATAGGCTTTAGATTAACCTAGTTCAATTTTATGGTTGTGACATTCTCCCCAACTTAGACAAACGTTCGTCCTCGAATGACACTAAAACACTTTTAAGAGATAAAACTCAAGAATAGCATCTCATAAACAAACCACACAATAAACAATACACATAGCTAGGAGGAACATCAAATATACATAATAAAAAGACTCAAAACACAAAAAGAAAGTAGGAACAACATTTACGACTTATTATGCAATAAGACTCTACCTTTTCTCATTTCACATAGGAGGAACTTCCTTATCCACATATCATCATGCTATCACATTAATTATAAGCACATTATGCCAAGATTTCATAAAATACATTTATGCAATACTTTCAAGAACTTCACTGTTAAGCATGTCTTCAAGCTCACTCATGCAACCTTTAGGAAATTCATTATAGAGGCATAACAATATGAAAGACAAAATCATTTGAACCCAATTTACCATATAAACATAATCTCCTGAAAATATGCATAATGCAAGGAAATCAATGAAGTTTATTCTTACTTAGACTCCTAAACACATGCAACATGTTACTACAAAGTTCTAACTCTCACGCTTGAATAAAATAGAAGAGAAAAGACAAGATTCATCAACCCAACTATTCACCATACTCCCCACTAGGGAAAAACTCATCAACACACAAAAGGGATAACTGTAACTTACTGGTACCTTTATCTGGATTTGCTTCCTTGTTATCTTCGAAGCAATAGAAATGATTCCTCAGTGGTTCACCAACATCCAGCCCACTAGAAGGATATTGTTTGGCCTCTCTTCTTCTAGACACCAAGGTAGGACAATCTCTCACCTTGTGGTCATTCTTTCCACAACCAAAACACCCAGTAGTACCGGCTAGACACTTTACAAAATGTTTCTTCCCATAATTTGAGCAAGTAGGTTTATCAATTCGGGACCACCACCCCTCTCATAGTTAGCCTTAGGAGCACTACGAACATCTTCATTTGGATCTTTCTTCTTAAACCTAGGTTGACTTTGCTCATCGTTTCTTCACCTCTTAGAATTTCTACCTTTCCTCCCAAGCTTAGAGTCTTAATTAGATTGAGCATACACCATAAGCCTAGATAGGGTCATATTACCATGAAGCATTGCCGTACGACACTCTTATTTCACAAGGTCGATAACATCGGTCAAGAACTTACTCATCTCATCTCTAGGGTTAGACACCAAGGATGGAGGATACTTAGACAATAGGGTAAATTTGAAGTGACTCCAAGGATGGAGGATACTTAGACAATAGGGTAAATTTCAAGTAATACTCTTTCACACTCATATTACATTGCTTAAGGTTTATAAACTCTTCAACCTTAACCTCTCTCTTCTCACGGGGAAAGTATATCTCTTAGAATGTTTCCTTAAACTCATCCCATTTTATAGGACCAATTCAACTAGCCTACTATCTTTCCATTATGTGTACCACACTTGTGCAACCACTTTCAATTGGCATGAAACCAACTCCTCCTTCTCCATAGAAGTCACCCCTATAACATGCACTATCTTATACACCTCATTCAAGAAGGCTTGGGGATATCTCCCACCTTAGAGACAAGAAATATAGAAGGATTTATCTTCACAAATTCTCTCAACCTAGAGGTCATGGTACTTTCAAGAGCATTCATTCTAGGCCTTACATCTCGATTCACTTGGGCCATCATGGCTCGGGCTAGGGCAATAAGAGCTCATATAATCTCCTCATTAGTCATGTCCGAGGGAACCATCGGAACCTCATTCCCTTGATTAGCTATAGGGACTTGTTCAACTTGAGGAACTTGAACACCTTGGTTCAACTAGGGAAGGAACTCCCTCATTCACCACTTCTTCATCCACTCTTCTTGCGGGAGTCCTTCTTGTATTAATATCCTATAAACACAAGAGAAGAGATTAGGAAAAGACACTTTTAACCTCAACTCACACAAGAGTAATGAAGAAAGAAAAACTTCTATTGTCCTATATCCTCTCTCTCATAGATGTGTCGCAAATCACCACCGATGAACAAGACTTTAACTCGAGCTTAAGTCTAAAATTTCACGAAGTCTGAAACCATCCTACTAAACCTATTTACGACTCGTTATTTATCCTATGATTCATCGTGTTTGAGCAACTGCCAATAAATATTTTGCTCTATGACTTCTTAGAGGTTGGGGAATGGAAAAAAAATCATCATCGGGTTGGAATTTAAGACCTTAGTTGAAAATATCGCACACTCATGAGCCTTGTGGCGCGCCTGCGCAGCGTGAAGGTGTTAAGTCATTTAAATAAGTATACTTTTGAAAGGGAATTTATGCTATATGATGCTGGAGCTTGCCCGAGGGCCACATTATATCATAAAAAAAAGAGGACGAAAAGGCTAGGTTACGAAGAAGAGTGGTAGTGTGAGTCGTGGTAGTGGTGGTGGTGGTGGTGGTAGTATTGGCAGTGTGAGTCGTAGTGGTGGTAGTGGTGGTGGTGGTGGTGGTGGTGGTAGTGGTGGTAGTAGTAGTAGTGGTAGTGGTGGTAGTAGTGGTGGTAGTGGTGGTGGTAGTGGTGGTAGTAGTAGTAGTAGTAGTGGTGGTAGTAGTGGTGGTAGTGGTGGTGGTAGTGGTGGTAGTAGTGGTGGTGGTAGTTGTGGTGGTAGTGGTGGTGGTAGTAGTGGTGGTAGTAGTGGTGGTAGTAGCAGCAGCAGCACAGTGGTAGTAGTAATGGTAGTAGTGGTAGCAGCAGCAGTAGCAGTAGTAGCAATAGTAATAGTAGTAGTAGTAGTAATGATAAAAGTGATAATGATAATAATGATAATGATGATAATGATAATGATAATGATAATGATAATAATGATAAACAACAACAACAACAACTTCAGCACCAGCACCACCACCACCAGCAGCAACAGCAATAACAACAACAACAACAACATCAACAACAACAATAACAACAACAACAACAACAACAAAAACAACAAAAACTGCAACAACAACAACAACAGTAACAGCAACAGCTGCATCAACAAAACCAATAACACCAACAACAACAACAACAACAACACTAACAGCAGCAACAGCAACAACAACAACAACAACAGCAACAACAACAGCAACAACAACACCACCACCACCAACAACAACAATAACAGCAACAACAGCAACAAGTTTGTCGTACCACTATAATGAAATTAAGCATATATAAATATAGATATTGAAATAAAGCCAATATTTGAACAAAAATATGTATAACCAAACTCAAAAACCAAGACACTATGATAAATACATAGTATTTTCATCTGAACTCCCTTCCCCATCATTTCACTCAGCTATTGATAGGTATTCTACTAATATTGAAGATAGTTTGCGTACTAAGTCGTCCACTTGAAAAGATAGTCATCAGGAAAAAAGTGAGGAGAAAGTGAAGCTATCAATGAACTTTTTATTGTCAATTAAAAAAAATTAATTATATCAAATATAGCTAACAATTATCATTTCGTACGAGTCTTAGCTTTTATTTTTATAAATTTTATCATTTGATGGAAGCTTAACCATGATATAATATACAATAAATGTCATTTTAAAACTTATATGTTTCATGTTAGTAATCCAAACATACTTGATTCACAATTCACATCTAATGGAGTACATCCCTTCCCTTTATTACTTATTATTACTTTATTATCATCACTAATTTTATTATTTTTCGTTTTCAAGAATAAAATTCAAGAATTTGAGATTTCTCCATAACTCTAATTCATTCCAAGATAATTCTTTAGAACCATGGAGACACAATTCATGGGAAGAACAAGGTGCTTCCATACATGCAAATAGCCTTGCATACCTTAATGATAAATATTGAATGAAGAACCTTCAAAGAGAATCTTTAACATGGAGAGACCCCTTTCTTGATGTTCTTATGTCTTTGGAGAAGGATAAATAAGTAGTGTAGAAGTTTTTATTCGTATTAGGACATTATTAGACTATAATACGGGTTTAGAGAAGTTGATTGAGGGTAAAAGTTCAAGAATACCCCTTTTAGAACGTAAGAGGACTATGAAAATTAAAGAAAATTGCATTTTAATGAATCGCATCGGTCAAATTGATAATATAAAGGTCTCATCATGAAAATACTTGATGGATCATCAAAGTGGAACCTTCAATTGCCAAAATTTTGTAGGTTATTAGTCCACTTAAGGGATGCATTTTGGAAAGATGTCAAATTATTCGGCTATTCACTTTTATTTTCAACCCAGACATGTTCCTGTAAAAAACCATAAATTTTTTACTCCACAGTCAAATTATAAAATGGTTGGCTACCTGAAATAATACTCATAGACCTATAATATGACTAGTGTTGATGCACATCTGTTGCACATGCATATGAAACCATGTAGTACACTATTTTAAAAACAATGCAACATTACTTAATGAAAAAATTAAGCAAACAATTATAAATGAAATATTAAAGTATAATTTTCTATCAATTGTGGATGTAAATTTTCTTATGTTTACTACCTAATGTTGTCAAATCTATATTTGAAATCACATATTTATTGATAATATAATTTAGATATAGATAAGGTGATGTGACACCTCTTTATGTCCTCCAAATTGGATTTAGCTTTTTATTCTATTTTATTTTTATTTCAAATTAATTGTGATATGCAAAATAAATATTGTCACTCTTAAAATCTCTTAATTACAACTCTTAGATATACCTTCTCCTCCCTCCCCTATAGTTTATTGCTTAGCTATTTTTGGATTGTTGGAATTTCTACTCTTAATATAATATAAATAAATATCGATATAAAATATAGAATATATACGAAATTGAGTGCTTTTAGTTTGAGTATAATAGTAATTTAACATTCAAGTTATGGAGTCTTCAAATTACGCTAACCTTCAAAATTACTCAATGTCTATTTTAAGAAAAGAAAATAAATATCATACCATTTGTAAAAATCACAATCCTTCGAAAGGTCACAGCTCATAAAAAGACACATCTCTTTAGAAAAATTATAATCATTCAATGTCAAAAGGTGTCTTATTTTAATATAATGTAATATAATATAAATAAATTAATATAACATATGCATGATAATTGAGTGGTTTAAGAAGAACAACAACAATAGAAAATATTTAAAAATTGTAGTTTTAAAATGTGCAGAAACCCCTCTAGTATAGTCAATAAAGGGTAGTATGATAAGCTCCTTATTGTGCATTATGAAAAACAATTTACAACCCTTTAGAAGAGTCACGATCCATTGAAAAGGTCACAACTAATCGTGAAAGTCGTAATCTTTGGAAAGTCAGAACTCTTCAAAGAGTCATACTCCCTCAACGTGAAAAAGTATCTGCCTTTAATATAAAAAAATATACAAAATAAAATTGAGCATATATATTTAAGTTTGTTTTTTAAGTTGGAGTATGAGAATAATTTATCATTTAAGCTATGGTATTCATGCTTTAAGGTAGAATAGATAAATATAGATATGTCTAATTTTCATTTGATATGAAAGTTTTTAAGAATAAAGAAGACTTTTAATTTTTGGTATTAAACTAAGGATATGTAGAATGTATAAAAATTTCCTTTAATTCTATGGTCTTAAATATGTCACATTAAAAAATTAAAATAAAAGAATATCCTCCACCCACCCTAAAAAATATTCTATTTTAAACTTAACAAAATAAAAGTCCAACTAAATACATTGAAAATATAGGAGCACTTGTTAAATGTATTTTGAAATATTCAAAACTTTGACCAAACCCTTTTTTCTCCCATAGTTATTGTGGAAAAACCCCTCTATTTATAGACAACAAAGAATATTTCATTCTCCTTGTTGCATCTAAAATGTATAGTGTGAAAATATATTTATTGTGTGTTATCTAAAAAGTCACAATGCTTCAAAAAATCACTACCATTCATAAAAGTCCCAACTCATCAGAAAAGTCACACTCTTTAAAAAATCATAACTTTTCAGAAAAGTCAAAATTGTCAATGTGAAAAGGTGTTAGTTATGTGTATGTGTGTGTTATAAATAAATAAGAAAATAATATAATATAATATAGTATATAGAAGACATACTAAATTAATTATTTTTAGTTGGGGACATGGGGGCATTATAGTAATTAAACATTCAGGTTATGGAGTTCGTGATTTAAGGTAGTATAGATAGATAGATATAGATAGACAAGTTGTAGGTCACCTAACTCTTCATACTCTAAAAGATGTGGTTGTTTGAAGATGTTTCTGTCATGATCGCATGAAAAAACTCAATCCATAGAGAAGCTTTGAAATTGATTTGGTGTTAGAGGTCTCTTATGACCTAAACCACATCAGATACACTTCTCAAAATTACAAATGAATTTTAACATATATGAACAATAGGAAATCGATCCAAGCTGATACACTTATGACAAATGGTTCGGATCCTAGAGTGGAATTCGTGAGGTGTTACATCTTTTTTGTTGATGTACTTGAGGCTAAATATATTTTATTTTAATCTTTATTAAAAAAAACATGTTTAGAACTTGTAATATACTTTACTCATGAAAAAAAAATACATATGAAATACTATGATAAGGTTTTCAATTAACTTTAGCTAAGAAAGATCGATGTGGTAGAGTCAGCATGATCCATAAATTTGAAAATCATCAATTATAAGAAGTACAATATAATTTCAATCATAGGATCAACAATTGGAAAGAAAGATAATTCAAAATCAAAAAATTTGGCTACCATCAGTTAAGAGAAAGCAAATGTGACACCTATTTTTCCAAGACAGATCTCAGATCTGGCTACCATCAGTTAAGAGTAAGCAAATGTGATATTTAAAAGACAGTTTTTAGAACCAAATATAGGCATTGCAAATTCTCGGTCATGTCCTTTGGGTTGACCAATGCGCCTGCAGCATTCATGGATAGTATGAATAAAATCTTCAAACCTTATTTAGATATGTTGTTATCATCTTCATTGATGACATAGTAATATGTTCAAGGAATGAAGAAAACCATGCTAGCAATCTCAGAATAGTTCTACAGGCTTTGAAGGATATAGAGTTGTATGCCAAGTTCTCTAAGTGTGATTTTCGGGTTGAGTATATGTCGTTCTTGGGTCACATAGTTTCCAATGATGGCATTAAAGTTGATACTCAGAAAATTGAGGCAGTGCAAAATTGGCCTAGAGCCACCTCTCCAACTGATATTAGGAGTTTTCGTCCCCTTTGACGAAGTTGACTTAGAAAACAATCAAGTTTCAATGGCCTAAAGCTTGTGAGAAAAGTTTTCAAGAATTGAAAAGATGTTGACTACTGCCCCATTTTTTATTTTACCAAAGAGTACTCAAGGTTTTGTGGTGTATTCTGATGCATCTAGAGTTAAGTTTTGACTGTATCCTAATGTAGAATGGCAAGGTTATAGCATATGTCTGTAGACAGTTGAAAGTTCATGAGAATAATTACCCAACACATGACTTAGAGTTGGCTGATTTAGTTTTTGCCTTGAAAATATGGCGTCACTATTTGTATGGTGTTCATGTTGATATATTCACTTATCACAAGAGACTATAATATGTGTTCACTCAAAAAGAGCTTAATCTTAGACAAAGAAGATGGTTAGAATTGCTCAAGAATTATGACATGAGCATTTTTTACCACCCAAGTAAGGCTAATGTGGTTGTTGATTCCCTAAGCATGTTGTATATGGGTAGTATCACCCATTTTGAAGAAGAGAAGAAGGAACTTGCAAAAGATGTGCATAGACTTGCACGCTTAAGATTCCTACTAATGGATTCATAGAAGGAGGAATAGTGGTGAAGAATGGAGTTGAATCATCCTTAGCGCCAGAAATGAAAGAAAAGCAAGACCAAGATCCCATTTTGCTTGAATTGAAATCAAATGTTCATTAACAAAGAGTATTAGCTTTTGAACAAGGGGGAGATGATGTATTGAGATATCAAGGTAGATTGTGTGTACCTATGGTGGATGAACTCCAAGAAAGGATCATGGAGGAAACTCATAGATTCATATATTTCATTCATCTGGGTTCCACAAATATGTACCGTGATTTCAGAGAATTATATTGATGGAATGGTATGAAGAAGCGCATTGCCAAATTTTTTACTAAGTGTCCAAACTGCCAACAAGTTAAAGTAGAGCACTAAAGTCCCAGTGGTTTGTCTCATAATATAGAACTTACGGAACGAAAGTGGAAGATGATTAACATGGATTTCATCACATACTTACCAAGGTCTTGCAGACAACATGATTATATTTGGGTGATTGTCAATCAAATGACAAAGTCAGCCCACTTTTTGTTGGTAAAGACTACCTATTAGGCAAAAGATTATGCTAGATTGTATATTCAAGAGGTGGTGAGGCTTCATGGAGTTCCTGTTTCCATTATTTTAGATAGAGGTGCATAATTCTGGAAATCTTTTTAGAAAGGTTTGGGTTCAAAGGTGAACTTAAGTACTGCCTTTCATCCTCAGACGGATGGCAAGCAGAGCGCACTATTCAGGCTTTAGAGGATATGTTGAGCGCATGTGTGATTGATTTCAAAGATAATTGGGATGATCACCTACCTCTAATTAAGTTTTCCTACAAAGACATTTCTCTATCTAGCATCCAAATGGCTTCTTATGAATCTCTTTATGGGAGAAGATGCAGATCTCCTATTGGATGGTTTGAAGTTAGTGAAGAAGGGTTAATATGACCAGATCTATTTCATCAAGCTATGGATAAGGTAAATGTGATTCAAGAGAGGTTGAGACGACACAGTCATAAAAAATCCTATGCGGATATTAGGAGGAGAGGATTGGATTCTGAAGTAGATGATTGAGTCAACTTAAAATTTTCACCCATGAAGGGTGTTATGAGGTTTGGTAGAAAGGGGAAACTTAGTCCCGATATATTGGACCTTATAGAATATCCAAGAGAATTGACGATGTAGCTTATGAGTTGGATCTATCACAAGAGTTAACGACAGTTCATCCAGTATATCATGTCTCCATGTTGAAGAAGTGCTTGGGTGATCCTTCATTGATCATTCCAACTGAAAATGTTGGGATCAAATATAACTTGTCTAACGAGGAGATTTCGGTGCAAATTCTATATCACAAATTTCGCAAGTTGAGAACAAAAGAGGTAGCATCAGTCAAGGTCCTTTGTATGAACAAATTTGTTAAAAAATCTACTTGGGAAGTTGAAGAGGACATGAAGAAGATATCCACATCGCTTCGAATCTTGAGAAAATACAGACCAAGGTATGGATTTTCTCTTAGTACTTTTTAAGTTATGAGTAAGCATGTTGTTGTTGTTGCATTTGCTCGTTGGGTGTTTGAACTTGATGTCATTACCCTTAGTCTAATAAGAGTAACCTCATTCAAGGACGAATGTTCCCAAGGGGAAGACCTTATAACATCTCATGACTAGAAAATACTAGAGAGGAGTTTAAAATCGAGAAATACTTATTTTGCAAAGTATAAGGAAATCTGGAAATTTTTAGTGAGTTTTTGGTCAACTTCGGACAGCCATAACTCCTAGATCAGGATGAGTTAGGTGTAGTTCCATGGTTGGAAAGCTCTTGGAACGATCTTTCCAGCCGCCTAGTTTGCGCAATTTTGAGTTTGTATGAGTGAGTTTTACTTTTTGAAAGTTGAGATGTAGGATTAAGGAAATGTTCAATTCCAAAATTTTAAAGGGTATTTTAGTCTTTTCACTACCTTATTATTTTAATGTATTTTTAGGAGTTTAATACGGGTCAAAACCTAACTTAAGTCAGTTTTAGAATTTGGGATTTTCACACTAGGGCTAAAGAGAAAGGAAGAAAGGAATAAGGGCAAATTCATCAAGATTAACAAAGAACATTGGTGTTTTCGCCAAAGGATTGCTTCTAACACGTATGTGAGTTTTCCATAATGCTGGGTTCGTTCACCACGTGGCAAGAATATTTTATTTAGAGTGAATCATTTTAAAATGATTGGAAATTAAATGTTCTTGTTGGTTGTTCTTGAATTGCTTTTGTTCTTGAACATGAGTTGAGGTTTGTGAATTTCTTGATATAAAAAATGTATTCTTGAGTTCATTGGATTAGCTCCTTTTATATATGATGTGGGTATATGAATCTAAAATGAATTTTAGAAAAATAATCGAATTAAAATAATATAAGGTCAGAAAATGAGAGGAAAAATTGACATATTTTTGCATAAGGAACAGGTTGGCGCAACGCGCCCCCATAGCGCTGGGAAGGATATGGAGGTGTGCCAGAAAAGAGTCTCAATCAAGTGAGGTTGGCGCGACGCACCCCAGACGCGCCTGAATCAACATTTTCACCCATTTTTTGTTATTCAGTCTGTTTAAGTCTTTTTAAAGTATATTAATAGTTTCCATTGATTCTAACTACTTCAAATGATTTATAGACACCTAGAAATCTTCCAAAAACACGAATCATAACCTTGAATTCATAATTCAGTTCAAGGAAAGTTAGAATCAATGCCGAGAGAATTTAAGAGTCAAGTCAAGAAGTTAAGAAGCAAGTTGAAGTAGAGTTTATTAAGTTTTCAAAAGTCTTTAACAATGTTTTAACCTTTGTTTTTAAGACTCCGGTTTCACGTTAGATAAGTTCATTTCTCCAAAATTTATAAGGGAACTAAGTATTCCTAAAAGTTTGTAAATGTTTTCACATTTAATACAAGAAAGGAAACTGATATTTTCAAATGAGTCATTGAGCTAGTTTTTCAGTGAAGAGGAAATCATGATTTCCCAGAGAGCTTTTAAGCTAAGTTTGAAAATTTACTCAAACCAGAGAGAAATTGTTTTAAACACATATGAGCTAGTATATTTTGGGAGTAGTATTGAGCATCGATATTGGGACACGAATTCATATTAAATCAAGCCCCCATAAATCATGTACCCATCATAGGCAAAGACAGGATCATACTTTTTAAATGATTTCATAGTACTTTTTAGCATAGACTAGTGGATCCAATTAGTGCGTTCAGGTTCGATACAGGTGGCAAGGTATATGATGGAGCGTTGTACCATAACCTAGGATCATAGTGATGGTTGTCAGTTAGAGAATCTCCCATAGAAGTTATTATATTTTTATATACATCAGTTTATTGTATTTTTATATACATTCAGAGTTATGTAGTATCCCTTTATATAAACAGAGTTGATATCATGTATTTAAACAAGTTTTTCTTTCTATTGCATCTGTTTTAAACTGATTCATAATGAAATAAGTTTAGTTAAGTATTCATGAGTTGAGAACAGCCAGGTAAGTGTTTTTCAGAATCTCTTTCAAACCTATCACTACAAAAAAAAATGCCAACATATTTCACTAACAACTTAAGTTGGTTAGTATTTACTAACAAATTACCAACATATATCTAACTGACTTATATTTTAAAGCTTAACAACGAAATTCTAACAGATTACCAACAAAAATCTTACTAACGAATTGTTTTAGTTGGTAAATACGGTGGGAAAATGGTACCAAGTTTAGCAACGTTCTATCAATGATTACCAACAGAAATATTACTAGCATACACCTTTTGTTGGTAATATAACCAACGAAGTATATACGATTGGTAAATATAACAAAAAAATTATTTAGATATTTTAATAACATATTGCCAATGAATTCCTAACCAAACATTTACCAACGACTGGATTGTGTTACTAAATTTAGCGAACAAATATAAATATGTTGGTAAATTAGTAAAGAAATGTAATATGTTGGTAAACTTGCCAACCAATATCTAATTAGTTGGAATCTTCGTTGAAGAATAAAGATTGTAGTTAGTAAATTATTAACATCATTAAAATAGTTGGTATTATTGTGATGTCAATTGGCCTACATCGTATTATGATGTAGACGTAGGTAACCAGAATCAACATCCAACGCCGCCTTATTGATCCGCTTTAGCATTCAAAGTTTGTTGGTGAGCCTCCTTGCATTTCGGAGAACTCTTTTATTTTGCTTTCTATTTTAGTTATTAGGATGTTGTGGGGTTTGTTCCAACTTCCATCTCAGTTGTTTAGAGGTTTCATAGACAGCCAAATATTAGTCATTTGACTCTTTTCATTTTCATCTATTATGTTAAAGACTTGGATTGCCAATTTTGACCAGCCAAATATTAGTCGTTTGAGTCTTTTCATTTTCATCTATTATGTTAAAGACTTGAATTGCCAATTTTGACCAAGTTGAATGTCTAATCTTTGAACATTCTCAGATTATGTTATTATTTAGTTCAGTTAGATGCTATTAATCCTTATAAATATGCATATAGTCTTCCCCTTGGTTAAGTAAGTCAGACCAAAGGTCCGCTTGAGGCCAGCAATGGTCTTCGAGTGTTGGTCACGCCCAGGGTGTAGGCTCAAGGCGTTACACAATTTTATCTTATAAATTTACAGGATGTTACAACTTTAGTTCCAATTATTGGTGTAGTATGGGAAACATTAGTAACCTTACATTTTTCCGCACCCTATGAAAATACAACATAATGTAAGCTCAATTAACAAACAAGAATAAGAATAACTACAACAATTTGATAATTGGTACACATTTCTGCTTTGAAGTTACTATCCAGGGTCTATTATAACTATTAACTGATAAAAGATGGTTCTTATCTTGCTACACCCCCAAACATTTCTCATTTGGTAGACAAAACCTCATTGTCTCTATTCTCATGGAGCCCTTTCACACAATCCTATAAGAAACTATACCAATAATACCAAGCTCACAACGTAGAGCAACTTTTGTTTAACTTTTGAGCTAAGAACACATAGATCCATGGAGAATTCCTAGCCTATGTCTTTGGTTAAAGGGTTTTTGACAATTTTCTAAATTGTTTTATATGAAATAGACGACACTTGGTCTCCACCGAGCTAGGGGCCTACTTAGTATACTTTCTTGTATAGTCTTGTAAAAATACAAATATCTCTCCATTATCAAATTGTATGGATGAACAATTTAGTGCCTTGAAAACTATGCTCGTCCTACGATTTGATGGGTAGTCAGTTCTCTAACCCTTTATAGACATCTTACCCAGATTTAGGAATTTTATGAAATAAATTTGCAATAACTTTTGCCAATTTTTTTTACAACTTGCTTAACTTCTAAACTTGACATTCTCCCATTGTGCGACTCAAATACATAACACATGCTTCAGATCATATTAAACATTGTTAGACTTTCCCTAATGTACTAATTGATTCAAACATCCCTAGTATTACACTTCTCCTATAGTTTCCCACCGGTTATTTACTATACGCAATGGCGAACCTAGGATTTTCATTTAGGGGTTCGAGAAATAAAAGTATAAACGTGTAAATAAGCCAACAATTTCCTTAGGAATGGAACCCTTGAATTCTTTTGGATTCAAAACTATACTTTTAGCATGTTTTATATATGAAAAAAAACTATAAAAGACGGAACTAGAACTAAAAAAATGAAACTAAACCACATTTTTAGCATGTTATATATATACACACTAGTCTTGTGGCACGTGTGTGTGCTACGTATAATATACGATGTTTTAAAAGACAATATACATATCATTTTTGTATAGTATACGATGTTGAAATCTTTTTAAACGATTAATACTCAGAATGATCAATATCATTGAAACATTTCTAAATCGATTTAAAGTTTAAATATGTGGAGAAAGTGACATTTTTTTATAATCTTTTACAAAATGTTATTACTCAATTAATATTTGAGCAAGACTTTCATAGAAAGATAATTTTACAAACAAAAAGTTTAGTTTGTTATTATAACGAATGATGTTAAATAGAAGTTTGAGCGTATGTGAAATATGTAGCTTGACAAGTGTTTTGAAAGGAAGGAGCGTGAGACGATATATTTTATACAGTAAAGAGCTAGGCATAAGCCCGGAGACACGGGGCATAAGTCCCATGAATCTACGCTTCGTAGTCTCATGTATATTTAATTCATAGTTTTATTACTAATAAAATAAGAAAAACAAACCTTTCAATGATTTTATAAATATTATTTTTTATAAAAACCTATAATATATAAAAATTATATTATGATTATTATTTGAAATAAGTATTAATAATGAATAATGAAGAAAGAAAAGTATCATAATTACTATTTGATAAATATCATTACAGTAATAATAAAAAATATGATTTAAAGCAAAAAAGGTTCAAAAAAACAAATTTAAAATGCCTGGGCCTACCTTTTTATGTTCAGGTCTTACGTTCTTATACTCGAGGCTTACACCATAATTTTAGAACTCACGCCTTATGGATCTACGTGTTTAATATACACCCTGGAGCATTTTTGGTACGCCCCGCCCCGAGACTCTTCCTGAAACTCGCCCCAAAATCATTTTTTAATACACTGAGCTTGACTAATTCTTTGTTTTAGATATATATATTTGAACAACATCAATTATGGTAAAAGATATTTCATTTCTTAAGTTTCTACCTTAACTTTGTGGAACTTTAGTTTTCTCGTTTTTTCTGCCGCATGTATATCATATAATTGGTGTCTAATAAAAGTATCTAGTATCTTATAGAAATCATATCGTGATATAAAATATTAAACTTTTTTAATGATAAAAATTAATAGATGAATAAAATTTAAAGTATTACTTGTAGAATCTATTTATTTGATTTAAGATCATTTTTATGAACAATCACAATTTTTTTAATCTATTTTTATATAGTTAACAAGGAGTGTATCTTTTGTAACATTTCCTCAATTATAATGAATACAACATAACAAAAAATTCATACTTAAAATTTTTGTTCATATAAATATAAAAAAAAAAGTATATGGAACAATGCAAAGCCAATTAAGAAGGAAGACGAAAATATATGTTTATGTTATATTCAATCTAGTGTTCCATTTGATTGAAACCTTGCCACAACCACGTTATTTCTCATTCATTTTAACATACATATCTAATAAAAAAAATAATGATTTTCATGGTAATATTATCATATAATAAGTAAACAGTAAAAAATTGTTTTTGAAACATTTGATTGAACATCAAAACTAATAATATAATGGACTACATAGATGCCCGTCGTTCAAGCAAAATTTGGAAGAAATTCCTTCATTTGAGGATAAAATCATAAAAAATAAAGAAGAAAATTTTTATCCAAATCATGTTTTTTTTTTCATATTTGTTTATTATTGTTGTGGCTCTCATAATTTCTTAACTCATGATAATCGTAAGTAAAAAAAATGAGTGTGAACTGATGAATGATTTGGTATAATTTTTTCACAAATTCTTTTTAATGTGGTAACTCGAAATTCATTGACTTTCAAACTTAATCAATTGTTCATAATAACACTTGAGATTTTTAAGAAGAAAAAGAGTAGAAAACTTAAAAAATCGTAGATTAAAAGTGAGACGAAATCCCTCTATTTATAACTAACAAATAGTGGTATGAATCGGTGCTAATTGTGTCTTATCAGAAAAGTCACAACCTTTTGAAAAAGTCATTGCTTATCAGAAGAGTCACAACCTTTAAAAAATCACCTTCTGAAAAGTCACAACTCATTGAAAATGTCACAACCCTTTGAAAAAGTCACAACTTATTGAAAAAGTCACAACCCTATAATATATATACATACATACATACATACATACATATATATATATATATATATATATATATATATATATATATATATATATATATATATATATATATACGAAACTAGAATTAAAAGAAAAATTTTGAAACTAAAAAAGTAAAAGTAAAATGCTATCTGAAGGATTTCAATCCTAGACGTCAAAGATTAGTTTTGGAGGAAACTGTCACTCGACTATCTCATTTTTCATGTCATTGATGGGGTTCAATATATATATATATTCATATAAATACAAATTTACTTTATATATATAGTATAATTCACTACTATTTTAGGCCTAAGGCCACATTAAATCTGGACAAGGCCTGTAAAGTGTTGTCTTTAGTATTTTTGGGTACACTTTTAAAGTGTAGCCTTAATTTTTAGGTTTTGACAATGATAACATTAGCAACATTTATAAAATGTGCTCTTTTATGGTATAGGCTACATTTTGTAAGCGCATTCAAATCATAATATAATCGTCTAACACTTGTTTACATATGTGAATGCACTTTTAATGTGTGGTACTTTTATTATTTTATAAATAACACTTTATAAGTGTGGCCTTATATACTTCCTAAAATTTCCACTAGGATATTTTATCCCCTTCAACATATTTAACTTCCCCTCTTATTTTCAATTAGCCAAAAAAGGAACTCATACAAAATAAATTTAAAAAACTCTCAATATAAACAACTCTAACTCTCATCTTCTATGGTTTTTGTAGAATCCAAGGAAAACCATGGCATCATCTAGGGTTTTCGGAAACTATTTCAGAACTCTAATGGCTGAAGCAAAGACCTCCGTCGAAAGACATCTCCGGCCACCACAACAACCGTGGCTGGAAAAGGTCGTTCTGAATGCATACTGAAACCTCAATCGATTTCACCTGCTCTGCAAAAATTTGTTGGTACTTTTGACATATCACGTAGTGATGCAGTTAAGAAAATCTGGAGTCCATCAAAACCAATAATCTTCAAGTTCACTTTCCATTTCCTCTTTATGTTACTTATGATAGAGAATAAACCTTTGAATGTTGATAGTATTGTTCTATGGAGTGGCCCTTTTTGTGGAAATGTTACATGGATGTTGTTAAGGATTAAAGGTATGAAAATGGAATCTTTGCTAAAATGAGGGGTTTTGCTTGAGCTATGCCAAGTATGGATACCTTGTCGTAAAATGCAATTGTTAGTATAGATGTATAGTAATTAGCACATTAGATGATAAAATAGAAAAAATTATTTATGATGGCTTATCCTAGCAGAATCCAAATGCACATGTCAGTAGGTGTGACAGTATGACAGATTTGAGGTGCTAAAAGTGACTTGTATAGTTAACATGGCACGGGAAGATATTGCATTTTTATTTTAATTAAACAATTTCCACAGGGATGATTGTTATTCCTGTGCTTCTGGAATATTTATCAACAATTAATAATATAGTAATGACTACTCTAGAATGTCATATGAAAATTGTAATTAACAATCAGTCTTTTATCTGATCCTTTGAGTGACTTTCTTGTTTCTAAGATAGTTTAATTGTCTTGATCAATCACATATTAGATGGAAATCTTAACATTCTTTGAAAGTCTAGTTGTTTCTGCGAGATTAAGAAGTCTAAAAAATAATCTGAAGATGTGCACCAGATTAAAGGATATTGTCATTTTCCCTATCTAGTAGACTAGCTGATTATGGAAGTAATGGGTATCCAAAGGTCTGTTGATATTTGGCATTGAGTTCTCTGTTATGAGTTGGGCTACTGATTTACATGTGATATAAAATGATCAATTCTCTCTCCCTCTCTGTCATTTTACAATGTGAAAGATGTACATAAACTAAGATTAAGCTTATTTTGGTTGGTCATTATAACTCTTGGGTAATTAGAGGCTGGTGTAGAATAGAATTAGCACACTACATGGTAATGAATAAACTGGTCGGTAGGATATCGTTTTCTGCAATTTCGACATGTATGATAATTTGATAAGTTAGACTTTGCGACAGTTTATATGAAGAAAGTAGGATGCTCATGGCTTGCGACCCTGAAATACTATGATGTGTGATTTAAATATCATGTGCTGAATAATGCCTAAGCTTTTATGCTCAAGCTACGTCAAACACTTCGTATGACCAGCTAGGGCATCTTTTATAAGACAAAGCCGTAAAAAATTGCTGATATATTACACCAGTTGTCATACATGTTTATCCATTGTTTTGTTCGAAGAAACATTAAAGATAATGGAGACGTATTTAGTGGACATGAAGGTTATATGTACATTTTCAATTTTTCTGACTCCCATAATGTCTATCCAAAAGGAAAATATATTGTTTTTTTTACAGAAGCTGAAATCAACAACCCGCAAAACGAGCTAAAGTCTGGCATAGACATTCTTGGGGCTCTCAATGGGATATTTTAAGTAACTTATGACAAATTCCTACCTTCAGACGATTTTGATGCTGATATATGTTACATATCAAAAGTAAGTTCCGATACTAGTTACTGATTCTATTCTATTTCTACAACTATTTCATCTAAAATATATCATCCAACAGCTATGGCCATGTTAATACATGTTCAGACTATGAGCTTTTATTTCTCCAAAAGAATGAAAACATAGTTTTTCCATATGATCCTAGATTCTATAGAATTATTATTGAAAACAGATAGGGCCCGTTAAAAGAGATGTTTTCTTTGTCAAAAAGAATAGTTATCTGCCAGAGACTTCTTATGCAATTTAATATAACTGAAGAGTGAAGAGTGAGAAATACTGTATCAATTTTTTTTGCATTCTGTTTCTTATTTTAGTTGAAGTGTTGGCAGTTGATTTAGTAATCTAGGGATACAATAGTAACCTTATTTGTAGGTGATTCATGATTGTGAAGTAGGAACATAAAACATGGTGACATCGTGTTAGAATCAATCACAGTTGTTTATAGCTATAGCTACCTATTGAATCCTTGACCTCAGACAATTGGTACCATCTAATTGTATATGTCAACCCTGAACTTGACAAGCCACCGCTCTTTCCATTTTCCCCAATTAGCTGCTCCGTCTGAAATGCAGAGTCTCACTAAATTCACTATTATATAAATTTTGCTTTCTATCTGGAAGTTTCTAATGTCATCGTCTTTCCCTCAATTCACTCACCTTCTACCTTCAAATTGCTATTTATTGATTATAGCATGTCAAAATGCTTATTGCTATGTACATTACTGTCTGCAATTGTTAGAATTGTTGAAGATATACCATCATGTATTTGAATTAATGTTGAAAATTGTACACGAGAAAATTGTATGGCAGCAATACGCTAGAAATGGGATGCAAGGACCAACGAGTTTGTCCAAGATCAGCAGTGGTGGATACTATGGTACAAAACCATCTGAGATACCTTACTACATGGCACCAATAAATGGCATTGGAGTGCCACCTGTTGGAGGGTACTACTACACTCCTTACTGACTTTTCCAAGTGTACATCACTTTTTCTATTTCATTGTTATGTTCTTTATCTAGTGCTTTGATTTTTCAACTGTATTCTATTGATTATGGATATATTTTCAATTTGTGCATTGTAAGTGAGGGTACGTAGTCGATGAGAAGAAGATAAAATTGGCTGAAGAGAATGAATACTGTGGAGTTGATGGTATATAAATTGATATGGGCGGACATTTCAAAATTTCTCTAATAGAAGGTGAGTGCATATAAACTATTTTGAAGTTGCTGCAATTTATTTTTATTTCCAACCAAGTTTCTGTTACTTCTCTCAAGCTTTTCTGCTATTTATTCTTGTGATTGTGTTACTGTATTATCGTAAGGCTACTTTTGATAACATTGTAGTGAGCCATGGAAACCCCATCCTTTTCAACTATCACAGATATACTGCAAATTTCCCTTCTTTTTGCATCTATATTAGGCCATGTATCTATCTATCCAAAAGATACTTTTTGTTGAATATATGTTGAAAGTTTGCATTTCGATAATTTTGTGATTGGGGAAAGCTCGTTCAACTTGATTGATGACTCTTGTTTTTCTGTTGTAATGAATAAACATGCTAATCTTTAGCTATATGATTCGACATATAGCCTACTCATGCTGATACTCATGTTGATATTCTTCTTATACATCAAGTTTAACATGCTTAAACTCGGGCACTACCATTTTTTATATGCTGCTTAGTTTGATATGAATGAGACATGCCTTACTTTGTATAATATGATGATCAGGAAAATTCAGCTTCCAACAGATGTGATATGTGTGAAATGAAGAGGACACAACAACATAATAGGTCCACGACTAATCCTTGCATGTCCAGAAAGTATGTTTATTAATTCAATTCTTTTCCAAGTTTTTTGATTATATAACTATATGATTACTGATATAGAAATATTGAAGGTATCTTTATGCAGATTTTTATGCAGGTACAATGTGGGCAGTCACTAAAATCCTAAGGACAATGGAACATTCAAAACGACCATCTTGAGAGTGTCTTGCTAAGAAAAAGAGATGTTAGACTATCTTGAGAGTGTTCTTGCATCTGAGCATGTTGTTGTGAAGAGTGGGCAGTTCATTGTTGAAGTTAAGCCTCAGGTTTGCCATATCTTAGCCTTTGCATTTGATGTTGACTTACTTGTTCCTTCTGTTTTAATAGACGAATCAATCAACTAGGCCTCATTTCATTGAAATCCTACCTCGTTTAACTTAACGGGATAATATAAACAGGTACAAACTGCAAGACCCAATGAATATAGTAGGAGATATGTATGCTACTGTTATGTTCCTTGGCGGAACAAACAGATTCTACTATATTTTCAAAGAGGAGGATGCCTAGTATTGCCAAAATCAATAAAAAATACCAAAATTGGAGAAGGATGACAGGACATCTCATTGTACTTGAGGTAATGTACTGATTCTTAGTGTATGCTGTGATGTAGAAAATTAGAGCACAATCTTTTTAATCCTTAAACAGATTAATCTCTTATAAGCTTTTGAATTGGTTGTTTCACCTGGATTTCGACATATTATGTTTGTTTTGAATGCGCTTTAGCAAATAGTGAAGTGATTTAGTGGGGAGCCATGCCAATTCTAAGTGTCACTTTGTCTATGTCAAAAATTACAACATTTTTCTTCTAGTATTATTGGCAGAACATGGTCACACTATTTTTGTCTACTAGTTCTGCCTTATTACTTTCCTTCTCAAATAGAAAAAATATTTATCCTACTAGCCTAATATGTTATTGAACTCTTTATTTTTTCTACATTCTGCCTTATGATGTTGCTTGATTCTTAATAGCAGTTGTAAAGTAATAAAATACATTTGAACTTCTAAATTCACAAATCTAGTTGATGGTCTTTTTTGAATCTATTTAATTTTTCCTAATTATACTGAGCAAAGGTGAATAACAATTTAGTTGTCTGATGAGCTGTCTGATTACCATGTATAACACGAATATGCAACAACTGCATCTGATAAAATATGAGAAAGATGTCAATCCAGTCCATCTAAGTGTTTTTTTAATTGTTGTAACTAGTTGGTGTGTAACTTAAAGTTGCAATCTAGAATAGATCTGAAACTTGAAGTGTAATTTGCAATCTACAATTTGGTTTAAATTTGCCTCAGAATCTGCAAAGTGAACTAAAAAATTCTACAGTCTGCAGTATTAAACTGCTGTAATATTAAACTGTTGCAATATGAAATTTATCTTGAACTTCTTCCCTCTTCTATAACTGTTGCAATCTGATTTTGCTGTACATTTTAAATGTTTAGGGAAGTGAAGGTGAGCAAATTTGAAGGTCGCCACTAGTCAAATTGATCTCATTGAAGTGGATGATGGAGAGTATTTGAACTGTTTTAAATGTTTGAATACATTATGGTTGATTTTGTGAAATATATTCATTGCTAGAATATATTGAACTACTGTAAGAGTATTTTTTGAACTATTGTGTACACAACACATATTATGTTTTGAAGATTATGGAAAATATATAAATTTGAATTACTTATAAGCTAATTTGATTCTTGCGATTATTTATTGCAAAAAAATATTGGTGTATTTTAGAAATTGTGGCATATAAATCTTTTAGAGCCAAAATAATATTACCACACTTAAAAGTGTAGCCATAGGACTGTAAATTGTATATGCATATGGGCAAAGACTACACTTCAAAGTGTTGTCATATATTAGATATAAAAGGCAACACTTCATAATTGTGGGCAATATGATAGCAAAGGCCACACTTAAGCGTAGCTGCAAAGTGTGCCCTTTTTTCCTATTAGGCTACGCTTGAAAGTGTAGGTTATAAGACAAAACTATTAAGCGTAGTTGCAAAGCGTGGTCTTTTTGCCTTTAAAGCTACGCTTAAAAGTGTAGCTGATAAGGCAACACTTTTAAGCGTAGCTGAAAAAGCGTGGCCTTTTTGCCTTTTGGCAACGCTTTTAAGCGCAGCTGATAAGGCAACACTTTTAGTGTTGCCTAAACTCTAAGGTTACAGGGCTTTCAGCCACCCCTGAACAAGTGTGGTTTAAAGTGAAAAAGTGTGGCCTTTTATCAAATGCCACACTTTTCCATAGTTTAGGCCACCCTTTCCTAGGGTGGTTGTAGACATAAAATAGTGTAGTGATTTTTCAATGAGGAGGTTCTGGTGAATCCCTGGAATACATGTGGGTTTGCCCCTTTTATGGGCTCCCCAATTTTGAATAACAAATTATATTAGCATGATTTCTAAGGTAAAAGTTCATTGTTATTCGATTCTCATGTGACTTCGAACACATGGTTTACTGACCACCAAGACTCAACTTTTAGGATTTAATATAGGGAAAATTGTACAATGACAAATTAATAAATCAAATTAAATGTTATAATCTCACTTTGATTTAATTGTGCCATGTAGCAAACTATTTGTCAATCACATCTCTCCCTCAAACTCTCGCTCGCCGCTCCCCTTGCTTTTATACAAACACAAATGTATAAAATGCATTTGTGTTTGTATAAAGCGAGACAAAATTCTATACATACATATATTTTCGTGTCCCTCTCCCAGATCTCGCTCGCCACTTCCGAGATCTCGCTCGTCGCGCTCGCATCTATCACTTATACAAACAAAAACAAAATGTATAAATTGTGTTTTGTTTGTATAAAGCGAGAGAAAATTGTATATACACATGCAAATGTATATATCTTCGTCCTATACACTTATAATTGTACAAATAAATATGCCCTTGTCCAATTTTATTTTGTCTTTCTCTCTTTCTCGTTTTATACGTGCACAAATTATACAATTATTTGTATACAACTATTTTCTTTTATATATATAACGAATTATACAATTGATTTCTTTGTATATGTATAGCGAATTATACAACTGTTTTTTTGTATATGTATAGCAAAATATACATATTTATGTTTGCTGTGGAGCACAATTATGCAAACTTTGCTATAACATACAAATATGAATTTTGTGTTTGTTATATGTGAAAATTGCTCTTTAATATATTACTTATTCTTTTATTGTTCTTAAAATTGTTAATTTTTTCTTTTTGGTTGGAATTTTTCTAATTATAAATTGAACCATTAAAATAAGAGACTTGTTCGAATAATAAATACACTCACTTTCCATAAGGATTGTGAGTTCGAGTCTAACATTGTGGTCCATTGCCATAACATGGAATCTGTTCAATTACCTTTTGGAATGAAGTCGAGCGAAATACATAAGCAGACCTATTGGCCACTCCAAGTATAAACTAACACCTTTAACAAATTCTCCATCTACAGGAACTATGCAGAGGCTCCTGTCACTCAAACTCCTCCCACAAATACATAGAAATCTCTCAAATGGGGCCACAAATCTCTCCAAGGCAAACCATTGTTTTTCTGCCCCATACACCACTTCCTCACACTCATGGAGGCTGCAAAATGTGAAATTTTCTCATGGGGTTTTCTCAAACCCACTTTTCTCGAAGCAGTTGTTAGCAAATACCCATTTCAGAGGTGATCCGAGCAAGGTTTTAGCTTACCGTACTGTTGGGCTTGGGAGGACTCAGTTAGGAAGAAGAAATTTTCATTCCAATTCCTTAGTTGGTTCCATTCGCCGCAGCTGGTACTTTACTATTCCCTTTAAGCATCATTACTTGTTCTCCTCTCCGGATACTCATTTCATTTCAATACTGAATAAATTGTGTCAAGGCAAAAACCCTTTACATTCCGCTCAATTCTTGCCAATTTTGTTCTGATTATAAATATTACTCCTCCATTTCATTGTTTCTCTTACTTTTGTATATTCTATGTCTCTATCTTTAGTTTAACTACTACAATTTATTTGTCTTTTGTTGAGATATTATAGTGAATCGAGTCTCGACTTCAAAACTAGTATTTGATTTTGCTGATGGATAGGTAAGTTGTACACTTGTAAGCAAGTTCCATTCAGTGTATTTTCCTGGGTTTTTGCGGAAGTAGCAGGAAATATAGTGATAGGGTGTGATCTTTACGGGCTCGGTCCCTTTGGAGATAGGAAACTTGAACCTAGCTGTTGTTTTCAGTTTTTATTGATCTCTTAATAGTTGGGGGAGAACTATGAGTTGCTTAAAATGGGAATTCTTTTGGGACTTAAAATATAGTTTTGGACTTGATTCCCTTGCATTTAGTATCCCCTCTCTTTTTCAATTGCACCATATTACTATTTTTTAAATTTGAGCCATAATCTCTTCATTTTATTTTATGCGAAGTTCTTTTGCATCATAATTTATGCTCACACTATTTATTTTCTAGTTTATTATTGAGAGTAGGTTAAGATTTCTAAAATAATTGGATTCATTTTATCTGTAGTGATTATTAGATCATTTGCACCTCACACATGAGTTATGGTACTCTCCAGGAGGGGCAAACCGTATTTGGATCTACAACTTGGTCTTGCTAAAAATTTTGTTTCATCTTTATTATTCCTTCACTTTTTTTCTTGAGAAGAACACCTTCATGTTTGTTATTTACATTCATGAGTTACCCATTCTCGGAAATTTGGAAATAAAATGTCTTGATTAGGGGTGTCAAATGGGTGGATTGGGTTAAAATTGGAGATATTAAAATGGGTTGGGATAGAAATCGGATTTTGTCCTGACCCGCCCAAGTTTACTTTGGGCTCAAATGAGCTATAAAATGGGTTAGGTCAATTTGACTCGATTAATCTCTATAATTTAACATATTAATATTTAACATTTATAATCATAGTTTGGATTTATGCTCAAGAATTTTTGTTAAAAAGTAATAAATGGATAGATAAATTTTAAAAGATGTTAAATAGATAATAATTCATATCTTCAATATACGATATGTTAATAAAAAGTTCTAAAACGGGTTGAAATTGGAGATTAAATTGGGCTCACTTGAGGATTCTCTTCAAACGGGTTAAGCTTGAATGAGTTTAGATTGAACCCAATTCAAATTATCTTGAGCCCAACCCTTAAAATTCTGGGCGGGTTATCTATGTTTGGATTCATTTTTGACACCCCTAGTCTTGAGGCAACTAGCTGACTTAGAGGAGATATAGGATCATAGAGCACTAGAGAAAGAAGAAATAACCTCTAGACTGGCACTTAACATGTAGTTTTAAGACATAGGTAAAAGGGAAGTGATTGTATGGAGGCAGAGGTTCATGACAGTTTGTTAAAGCAAGGTATAGAAACACTGATTTCTTTCACCGAACTGCTAATGCACACAGGAGAATAAACACAATTTCCTAGCTGGAGGTGAGAGTGAGATTATGACAAAACCAGAAGAGATGCAAAAGGAGGTAGTAGCCTATTATGAGAAGCTATACTCAGTCAGAAAATTGGAGACAACATCTAGATATGAGATATGGTCCCGTGATTGGAGAAGAGGAAAATAACCTCCTGATGGCACCTTTTGAGCAACTGGAAATACCAGAGAGCATAAAAGCATGTGCAAGTGACAAAGCACCAGGGCTAGATGGTTTTTCCATGTCATTCTTCAGTCTTTTGTCAATGCTGTTATTAGTTCAGAGCTAGTAGCAACCGTACAGAATTTTACAAGGTAGGAATTTTTGAAAGGAGCATCAATGCCACATTTGTAGCTCTAATACCATAGAAAGTGGGAACCATGGAGCTAAATGATTTCGGACCTATAAGCTTGACAGGAGGGGTGTACAAGATCATAGCCAAACTTTTGGTAGAAAAACTGGAAGAAGTGATAAACTCAGTGGGCAGACAACAAATGCCATTTATAAAAGGATGACAAATTGTGGATGTAGTGCTGATAGCAAATGAGTGTGTGGAATCTAGACAAAGAAGTCAACAATCTGGGTTTCTATGCAAACTAGCCATTTAGAAGGCATATGACCATCCGTCTGGAACTTTCTGATTCTTATGATGTAAAGGATGAGTTTTGGAGCTTAATGGATCGGCTGGATGAGATACTGCATTAGTATAGTTAAGTTTTCTGTAGTAATCAACATAACTCCCAATAGTTTCTTTCTGTCCTTGACGGGCTTTAGATAGGGTAACCCCTTGTCCCCCTTTCTATTCATCTTAGCAATGGAAGGAATGAGCAGCATGATGTGTATTCTACTTGCTTACCTCCACTCTTTGTGCATTCACAAGGGTGGGGCCTTTTTGGGGGGTCTCACGTGTATAATAGGTGGGAAACTAACCAACAAATTCAACCTCATGCATGTGATATTTTGATATTATTCCTCATAGATAATCTCATAAATCTCATGTGAGGTGCAATCTATTTCACTTGTAGATATAAAAGTAAAATATGACATATTTCATTTGAAATTTTAACCTAGTCTCACATGTAGGCTTAGTAATAGGGTAGGAATCATAGACGGGACATACATTAGACCTGCAATTCGATGAGCTCATGATTCTGCAAGAACCTTAGAATAAGGGAATTGATCAGAATAAATAAAAGAATAAGGTACAAATTACGGAAGGGAATATGCATGAAGGCTGCAAATGCAGAGAACGCCAGATCTTTGGTTGACTTCAATTGTAAGA